AAAAAAAAAAAAAAAAAAAAAAAAAAAAATCGACTGCATTAGACTCTGCTCCTTAGAATATTATATTTGACACTATTTCTCCCTATCTTGACAAGAGACTTAAGTGAATGTTTCTAATTGGTAGAAATTAATCAGGAGTGATTGAAGCTTTGTGCTACCATGGTAACCTCTCTTACTGAGTAGCTGTTCTCCATTTCAAGGAATTAAATCTCTCTCTTAATAAATTGGCGCTCAAGTTGTTTCCATCTCCCCACCCCATACCACCCCTGATCCCTCTGACCTATTCAGCCCATATTTTCCTTCTCAACTGTGTGACACTGAAGTAACGCACAAGCTACCTATCTGGCAAACAGGCGACTAAGGAATTTGCTTTCCAAAGTCCATCAGCTTTTCTAAACCGTGCATGGATTTTCAGCATTAACACTTCTGATATTTGGGGATGGACAATTCTTTGTGAGAATCAGAGTTCTATGCGTTGAGAAATCCTTGGGCTCTGCCTTCCCGATGCCCACGTAAAAATCCCCAAGGTGTGATAACAGAAAATGTGTTCAGACGTTGTCATTCATCCCCTGGAGAGCAAAGATCATCCCTAGATAAAGACTGCTAATGTAAAGAGAGTCCCGAGGCATGAAATATCTTGTTACAATAGATATAAACTTGATGCACCTGAGATGCATGTATTATGGCCCTAATGAGGTGTTTTCTACGATGTACATTTGTTTATATTAAGTGTATGTATTTTTTTACTATCCCGTGGCACACACCACAGTTTTCACTTAAAATTGTCAGTGGTGCACGTTTGCAGTATATAAGGTTACACTCTTTGTGGGAAGCTGGTACACGTACATAACACACCTTCGTTCCTTGCTTCATCTCTCTTCCCTTCCCTCCCTCTGCGGTCTCTCCGTCTCTTGACCCCTTTCCCATATGAGAAAGAGCTATCTCCCTACTACCTGTCGTCTGTCTTTGCTTACAATTTGGGTTCCTCATATAAGATAAGCCACGTGATATGTAATCTCTCTGTCTGATTAATTTCACTTAATATCATGGCCTCACGGTGCATGCATTTTCCCACAAATGATTCAAGTTTACCTACACTTTGGTGGTGTTGGACTGGGCTTAAATGTGTATTAAGTGATGGCTTATTTCTTGACCAGAGAGCCTATCTACCTTTAAGTTTGATCTAACATAATCAAGGGCCAAATATCTATTCAGCATTTCCTTGAATATTTTCAAAACCTTTATAAAGAAATTTGAACCCAGACTAAGCTTTAGAATGCATCTATTAGATGTGAAGTTCATAGATCGCAGAGGTGGTATCGCCTTCATTTTCCTATTTGTATTATGTTCAGCATGTTGCTTCACATACAACACCTGGCAGGACATTTTGAAAGGACTTTAAAATAAAAACAAAATAGGGCCCAAAATAACCCCATGGCCCTGCAGATCAAACCGCTCAATGTCAGGATTCCCAGCCAAACACCTATTGAGAGAGGTGCTTGTGGAAACAGCAGGGACACTGAAAAATAGATTGTTTCTTCTGATAAAAGAAAAATCAAAACAAAACCCCTCAGTTGAGCTCTCTGAGGATACTTCAGGGAGGAAAATCACACCTAATGTTCAGTCTTAAACACTCAGAATTAGTTAACTATAAATTTAGACATCAACTTTATGAATACCTGGTAGATACAAGTGTTATTTTTTCTGCAGTTATAGCTTGACACTTGTATTCAATTTCTTAACCAGAGTAAATATGCCAGACAAGTAGTAATTCATAGATTTTCCCTATCCCCCAGCTCTGAATTCTAAGATTTACACTTTGGACTGAAAAATGTTCCTTCCTGCTTTATGATATTACACCAGCAAGTTTAATAGAAGAGGATTTATTTTACAATGCAATTATAATATTAAACGCAGATCAGAAGGACTTTTGTGGCAGTTTCGGGGAACTCCTCTATCCTTCACCAAGTTGTGTTTACTCTGAGCACATTTTTGGCCTCTTCATTACGCTCATTATATTATATTCCCCAAATAAAATTATTATCATCACACCCCACCTTCTAACATAAAAATTCCATGGATATAAGAAAATTAGAACAGAGCCTATTAAAATTCAGTACAGCCTACAAAACTGTAATCTAAAGTGTCCCAGTATTCCTTGAAGCCAGAAATAAAGGCTTCATGGCTAGAGTTGAAGGCCTTATATCCAAAGGCCCTGATACCACTCTCTTCCTGCCAAGAAAGAATGAAAAATAATAAACAAACAAACCCAGGCCACTAGGATCTCAACACCATCTACAAAATTATTACCCCTCTGTTCTCTGTAGCACATAACTCACATACCTGCCCATCATCAATTCTACGGGAAGCCACTTGCTTCACTGGTAGTAGTGGCTTTTGCTCACAAGCCCTGGATCTGTTCCTTTCTCTGCAGAGGACGGCAATATGCCCTTGCGGTACTGTGACAGAGGCCTCTTCATTCCCCCTCCCATTTTTCTGAGGTCCTCCAACAAGACTTAGAAGAGCTAAACTTCCTCAGGATTCATTTCTGACGTGATATGTGATGATTCTCATGCTTTGTTCAAAGGAGATAGAAGCCTGCATCAAATGAGTCTGTTTACCTGCTCCCAGCCTTAGCGGGAAAAGAATGCTGTTTCTAAAGATAAATAACAATTTTATTGTTATTTAGAACTCAGTGGACCACTGAAGAAATCATTTATCTAAGGTGGGAAAATCATTTTCTCCTAATAGACTAAAATATCCAATTTTTTCTGAGATGCTACCCAAAATGACACTTGGGAGGACTTCTTGGTATAACTGTGTTGTGTTGTGCAGAACTGGGGCCATATTTTCCTGTGATGGAAACTCTTCTCTAGGACTCCCTGAAGTAAGTCCTTGGTAAGAAACTCCTCTCAATGGGAGCTGAACAGGAACAGGATTTCCACAACCTATTACCAGCTTTTCAGCAGACTTGTTCCCTAGGCATCCCCAAATGCAAACACCTGTTTGTCCATTTGTGCACGAACCATCTGGACAAGCTCACAAGAACCCTCCCGACACATCACTGACTCTAACCTCAGCCTTGACCCCAGGGCAAAGGCTTCATTACCTGTCCTAGAGCAAGAGCTGTCGCACTTCCCATTAGAACTGGCCAGCGCTCCTTGTGAAGGAGCCCCAGGTTCCTCTTGTGACTCAGCAGTTCTTTCTGTAGTACAGACGCACACCACACTGTCACCCAGCCAGCGAATACCCTGTGAGAGTCTCCCGCCCTCTCTTTCATACACTATTCTCTGCTGAGTCCTGCCACTCTTCTGTCTGAAAGAAGGTAGACAGATGGTCCCAGGTAAGAAACTTTCCGTAAACTACTTTTAATGGCTTAGACTGAATCTTGATTTAAAATTATCTGTAGTTGGAGCATGCCTCTAAACTGAAATCGGAGATTATCAAGAAGGAAATGCTATCGCTAATTTAACCTATCTTTTAAAATACAGATATCTCCCTGAAATGACTTTGGGCCCTGTGGCATAATATGGAGCACTTGATGGACCTTGTCAGGCATTACAATAAATCACAAACACACCTAGCGATAATAGGTATGCTTTTGGTGTAGTACACATTGTGTAAAGCTTTGGAAAAAAATGGCATTTCAGCCTTGCCAAACCA